TTGACTGTGGTGGTGGTCACATAAACCAACACATGTGATAAAGTTTCATAGTGTGGTACACACAGGCAAGTGGGTGCATGTAAAACTGGTGAAAATGTAATAAAGTAGATGGACTGTAACTATGTCAGTTTCCCATTTGTGATGTACAGTTATGCATGATGTTACAATTGGGCATGAAGGGTACCCAAAATCCCTCTTAATTTTTCTTAACTGCATGTAAATCCACAATTATCTTGAAGTATAAGTTTTTAAGTGAGTATGATATCTATGCCATAATGTCCATTTATTTAATAAATAGAAAGAGACTTCTGGCCAAAACAGAGGTGTAGGTAGACACACTGTGCTTCCTCACACAACCGAAACAAGGACAGAAAACTTAAAAACAAAGAACAAAAACTGCCAGAAAATTGAACTGTATGGAAGTCTGACAATCAAGGAATTAAAGAAGAAACATTCATCCAGACAAATAAGAAAGGTAGAGATGGGCAGTGAGGGTGGAGAGGACTCGCAGTGAGGTGGTGGCTGGTGGAGTGGGTGGTCACACATTCATGTGTGGATAAACCAGGAGGAACAACTGGAGAGTGAGACAGACTGCACAACCCAGGGGTACAGCCCAGGAAAAATGGCCTCAGAACCTCTGACTGAAAAAACCTGTGGGGGTTGAGGTGGCAGGAGAAACTCCCAGCCTCATAGAAGATTTCTTTGAAGAGATCCACATGATCCTAGAATGTACACAATTTCACCAACCCAAGAATCAGCACCAGAAGGGCTTGTGGGAAGTGGAAGAAGTGACTAAAAGTCAGCAGAGAGCTGAGTAAGCAGCATTGTTTCCTCTCAGATCCCTCCCCTGTATACAGCACCACAGCGCAGTGATGTGGTTTGTCCTGCCCTGGAAAATACCTAAGGCTCTGCCCCTTACTACATAACAGGTGTGCTGAAACAAACAAACAAAAATGTCCCAAATGAAAGAACACATCAAAGCTCCAGAAAAAAATACAACTAAATGATGAAGAGATAGCCAACCTATCAGATACACAGTCCAAAACACTGGTAATCAGGATGCTCACAGAAATGGTTGAGTCTGGTTGCAAAATTCAGGAAAAAGTGAAGGATATGAAAAGTGAAATAAAGGTAAATGTATGGGGAAGCAACAGTGACAGGAAGGAAACTGAGACTCAAATCAACAATTTGGTATAAAAGTAACAAATAAACATTTGACCAGAACAAAATGAAGAGAGAAAATTTCAGAAAAAAAATGAGGAGAGGCTTAGGAACCTCCAGGACAACTTTAAATATTCCAAGATCTGAATCATAGGGGTGCCAGAAGGAGAAGAAGAAGAGCAAGAAATTGAAAACTTATTTGAAAAAATAATGAAATAATAATCATTCCCTAATCTCGCAAAGGAAATAGATTTCCAAGAAGTTCAGGAAGCTCAGAGAGTCCCAAAGAAGTTGGACCAAGGAAGCACACACCAAAACACATCATAATCACATTACCCAAGATTAAAGACAAGGAGAGAATCTTAAAAACAGCAAGAGAAAAGGAGACAGTTACCTATGAAGGAGTTCCTATCAGACTGTCAGCTGATTTCTCGAAAGAAACCTTGCAGGCAAGAGGGTGATGGAAAGAAATATTTGAAGTCATGAAAGGCTAGGACGTACATCCAAGATTCCTCTACCCAGCAAAGCTATCATTTATAATGGAAGAACAGATAAAGTGCTTCCCAGATAAGGTCAAGTTAAAGGAGTTCATCATCCCAAGCCCTTATTATATGAAATGTTAAAGGGACTTATCTAAGAAAAGGAAGATGACCAAAAATATGAACAGTAAAGTTACAGCAAAGTCACAACTGTCAACAACTGAACCTAAAATAAAACAAACTAAGCAAACAAGCAGAACAGGAACAGAATCACAGAAATGGAAATCACATGGAGGATTATCAGCAGGGAGGGGTAGCAGGGAGAATGGGGGAAAAGGTACAGAGAATAAGTAACATAAATGGTAGGTACAAAATAGACACAGGGAGGTTGAGAATAGTTCGGGAAATGTAGAAGCCAAAGAACTTATATGTATGACCCATGGACATGAAGTGAGGGGGGGTGCAGGTGGAAGGGGGGTGTAGGGTGGAGGAAAATGAGATAACTGTAAAAGCATAATCAATAAAATATATTTTAAAATTTTAAAAATAATAATAAATAGAAAGAATAAGACATAGAGATTATCATGATCTTAGTTTGAATATGACCAAGTAGGAAGTCTAGGTTAGGACCACTCAAATTGGAGTTCCCAAGTCAGAAATCAAGAGCAGAACTAATACTAGGACCACCATCATTTACACTAATGAAGAATGTTTTAGAGAATTCCAGCAGCCCCCCTACAAAGTTGCTAAGTGTATAAGAGATCCCAAACAAAAACTGCCCAGGTGAAAAGGGCCATTTGATCATAAGTCATTAAACTTTTAACCCACGAGGTTTTGGGAGGACTTGTTATGCTGTAATCAGAATACTACATACATGAAGCAAGGGGAGTGAGTGGTTGTAGTTAAATAGATGAGTTTTGAAATCTCAGTAAGTCTACTGATTTTGAATCCTAGGATCCATGTTTGTCTCAAGCTAGTCCCTGAAACCCATTTTCCTGAATATTCTCTAAGCATGTCAGGAGTAATGACAAGGGTTGGAGGATGCACAGGAAAGGGAAATTGAACAACCAGTCTTTGCCCTTAACGAACTCACAGTCTAGTAAGACAAAACATAAGTGCACTAAATGGCATGAGAACAATTATAAGGCAACAAATCAGCAAGTTCAAACTAATATACTATAGCACAAATTGAATGCATGTGGCAATGTATGGCTACCCGAGCAGCAGAATGAAGCTAGACATTTTCGGCCTGAAGGCAACATTTCAGAAAGGGCCCCTCTTTCTTTGTTAAAAATGAAATTAAATCTCTAGCAATGCAGGGGCTAGATGGATGATATGAATAATTTTGTAGAAAGAAACAAGGAGGTAACTTCCAGGGTCAATATTCTTTTTTTCTAATTTATTTTATTTCTTTTCTCTTTTTTAAGCTTTTATTTATTTATTTATTTACTTATTTACTTATTTATTTATTTTAGAGAGAGGAAAGGAGGGAGAAAGAGAGGGAGAGAAACATCAATGTGTGGTTACCACTCATGTGCCCCTTGTTGGGGACCTGGCCTGCAACCCAGGCATGTGCCCTGACAGAATCAAACTGGCAACCTTTTGGTTTGCAGGCCAGTGCTCAATACACTGAGCCATACCAGCCAGGGCAATTATTCTTGTTTTAATTTTCTTTTGTTCTGTTTTCCTGATTATGTGTATTATTGGCAAGCCACAATTTCACTAAGCATCAAATTCCTCATCTATATAGATTGGAGATAAAAACCAGAGAGTAGTGGTTGAAAGTCAGGAAATATGAATTGAATCTCAAATCTATCATTTATTGGCTGTGTGACCTTGGATACATCACCTCCCCTGTCCCCTCATCACTTTCCTCTTCTGTGACATGAGAAGGTTGAGCTGAATGGTCCAGAAGATATCCATCAACTCTAACATTTGAGGCCAAAGATAGTTCATACTTTGTTGTGAGAGTTTAAAAAGTAATGTTGAGGCTATGGTGGGTATGAAGATGGAGATAACTGTACCTGAACAACAATAAAAAATGTAAAAAAAGAGTAATGTTGATCTATATGAAAGTACCCTTTAAATCATAAAATAGTATAGCAATGTTAGGGATATCAATATTATCCAGTTCTATTTCGTGAGGGAAAAAAAAACCTAGCAGCTCTCCTCCAAGTTTAGGGACTTAATGTATAAATGGATACTGTCTGTCAAGGCAGTACTTTTGGGCCTTAGAAGTTTGTGATAATTCTTTGTAAATATTGCTCACTGAATAAATGCACATTTGGAATAGTCTGTCTCAAGCTCACCAAGTCATCAGCAGTACTTTTGTAATCTCAGGGTTGGGTTCTTGACCCAACTCTGAATTGTGGGAACTACTAAAACAGTGGATGTAGGCTATGGTGGGCCTCTCCAAGTTTGCTTCAAGACCCTTAATGATCACAGAGGTCCTTTCCATGGGGCTTAGGAGCCCTCTTTGTGGGAGAAAATAGATTTCTAAGTCATCCCCTCTCTCTCCACACACGCACCTCCATATCCACCCTGCCTTTAAGTACACCAACGCTTATCACTTCATTAGCTGCAGTGGGGATTTGGGAAACGCCCCGAAATGATAAGCAGCTTGGTAAGGCATAACTTTCGAGGCCAGCTCATCCTGTGTCCTGTGCACTAACTAAGGACCAGACCAGGTGTATGCACCAGAGAGGCCGTTGTGCTGGAGAAGAAGGGTGCAGAGTTCCAGTTGGAGGGTAGCTGGGGTCTCATGGTGGGCGCGAGAGGTGATGAGCTCCTAAGTGCATCACTCTCAGAAGAGGAGGGTCCGGAGGAGATGCGCGGTCCCTTTAAGACCCCAAACCTTGCTTAGCCAGAAGAGGGGGGGTGCAGTGGGGGATCTGCATGGTGGCAAAATAGCCAGCTGAGCCTCTCAATTTCTCTGGATTTCTTAACTTTTGGGTGTGGGGAGCAGGAATAAAGCCGTAGTGCCAAGCATAGAAGGGGTGCGGACTGGAGAAGGGGTGTGGGCTGGCAGCGGTTGCGCGCTTTTGTAGACTTCCCGCTTGCCTCTAGGGGCCTCTTGGGCCAAGTGGGGAGCGGGGAGCGGGTGGGAGGGCGGGCAGGTGGCCCCGGGCTTCCAGCACCCGAGCCTTAGCTCTGCCCCCTGGAGCAGAGCAAACGCTGCCCCCTCATGGTGTGAGGGCGGTGATGTTTTTCCTCCCACCCACTTTTGGGTTCCCCCGCCCCGCTCGCTCCAGCGCACTCTGGCTCTCTCCACAACCTGCGAGCCACAAACCTCGGAGCAGCGCCCTGGGGAGCTCTATGCGTGTACCCCCGCCCCCCCCGTGGAAGACCGAGGAGGCCAGTGAACAGGTCAGTGAGCGGTGCCCGGAGCCTGCTTCCCCCGACAGTCCTTTCCAGCCTTTGCACAGGTGGGGTATCTTACGCTGGCGTGAGCGACTCCTGAAAGTTCTCCGATGGTGCCCCAATCTCTCTAGACTTGCCATCCCAACTCGCTTTAGGGTTTAGCTGCCAGTGGCTGGGGTAGAGGCGGGGCCCACGGTGCCGGACCGAGGCAGGTTGGGGGCTGTAGATTCGAACTGAGCAGTTTCCACTCCCTACGCAGTTTGCGTATTTCCATGCTCTGGTGCTTCGGAATGCCAATTGGGAAGTTACCTAATGGGTCCTGCCATCCCCTTAGTTATCCCGTGTGCCCTGAGCCTTTTTTCTCACTTGCTGAAATTCCCTGGACCAGTGGGTGATTAATACATGCCAAAGTTAATGAAACAGGGAAGGACGGGGGAGAGGCTCCTCTAGACTCTGGAGACTTGCCACATTTTTCAACCGAAACCGCTGGGGTCAGAATTTTGAGAGGCTAGACTCAGGAAGCAACGCAGTATTGCCAGAGTTCAGGGCCTGCAAAGCCCACTAACTCTATGAGAATTGGCAATTGAGAGTTCTTTGGGCTCCAGGGTGGTTGGGGTTGTTGTGGGGCATAAAATGAAATTATAACAAGGTGTGTTGCAAGCCATTGTTTGTCAGTAGTAAGTAGCAATGAAGGTGCTGACTCCAAGAGACCCCCAGGGCTGGAACTGCCATTTTGCAGTGGCAATCCACCACCAAGTGAACTGAGCTTTTCTTGTCGGAAGGTAGAGAGGGGAGAGGATATAAGCCAACACTGCCCGAGACTGCAGCATTTTATTCTCAGAAAAAAGAATTGCTACCCTGGAGGCTGTCCCACAAATGACAGTGAATATGAGATTACAAGGTCCATCAAACCTCTCAGGGAGGATTAAAGAGACACTGTGGGGTGTGAAGAACTGGCTGACATATGCTCAGCCATTAGCCTTCCTTTGAGAATATCTCTTTGGTTCTGTTCAACCCAGGAGACCTCTTCTGAGAATGGACAGTCTCCTGAGGACTCTATGGCCCATATTGCCTTGTAAATTACAGCTGAGCAAGGAGACCTTGGGCACTTGGCTTGGTACAAATGAACAATGCAAATGCTTGTTTCATGGATGCGCCTTAATGAACACATTTCTTTAAATTCTGACATTTTTTTCTCTTGTAAAACCCACTCTCCTTCTCCCCTCCCCAGTGTTAGTTGCAGGGTTTTGTTTTCTTTCTTGTTTTTTGTTTTTGGCCTGGATCCCCCCACAGCCTGTCAATGACTACATTTCTAAGTAACCTGTAAAAGAACCAGTGCAAGTTCAATGGCACAACAGCCCGTGTGAAGCAGAGAGAGAGTTAATGCAGAAATAACTCCAGTTAACTGGGTCAAAGTATAATTTGAAAAATTAAGGACAGTTTGGCTCTTTGCAAGTGCAAGAGACCGCATGTTTGCTGAGCAATACTTGTTTGTGTTTATTGCTACAGTCCCAATAAATGTCTCACACCACCCGACTCCCCAAAAAGAAAAAGTAAAAGAGATAAAGAGAAGTAGAATGATGAGGAGACTTGGAGAGGGAACTCTTCTCAGTTTGTGTTTCTGAAAAGAATACAAAGGCAGGACTTCAGGATCTTGTAATTCAAAAGTGAAGATTTATAAAGCAATTAGTTTTCTGATGTTCTCCATCACAGCCTGGAAGGCCACACATGACAGAAACACCAAAACGATAAATGACTCTATCGTTACCGACTTTTCTATTTGCTCATAACATTAGTTGGGGCCCCCCAAAAGCAAAAAATTCTAAGAGCTGTTTTCTTGCCAGTATGAATTATGAAGCAATGCTACTGTTCACTGAATCGCCCAACCATTGTACAAGGAAAATAACCCTGTTAGTTCTTGCATGGGGAGGCCTGAAAAATGAAAAATGTGATTTGAGAAATACTCCCTGAAATCCATATGTGATTGTGATAAATTGGATTTCAGTGGTTTAAAAAATCTTTTTCCCTTGGAGACTTGGGGAATAAGCTTATTAAAGTAGACTCAGGAAGAACCTCCCAACTGTTCATGGACATGATTTGATTCAAGGGAACCTGGTAGCTACAAGAAGACAGAGACATTCTGAGTGATTGAAGGTGGACCATAAAGTCACAGAGGAGACCAAGACCTCAGAACCCAGACCTTTGGCAGGCTAAGAACATGTCCTGGGAGAATTAGTTCTTGTTTAAGGAGCAGGCAGGAGGCAGAGAAGGCAGAATGGTACTGCAAATCCTGACTGATGGCACAAATTATTCTCTATAATTAGTTATTCTTTGGTTACACATTCATAATTTGAAACAATGGATTTTCAGTTATCCAGTCAACTTTATAGCATTTAAAGTAGGAGCTGTGGTATCATACTACCACACAAAGACAATTCAGTTCTCCGGAATGATCATCTTGCATTCCTTCCAGCTCTTTATACTAGCTACTTAGGTTGAATCCTCTGAAAAGATTAATGAGCTGAATTCCCACTCACAGTTAGCCCAAGACTGAAATGTGGTGTTTCTTGAATATTTAAATATTATCAAATTACCAACTGGAAGTTTCGCAAACTCTAAAGCCTATGGAAATGACTTGTAACTGGATATGAGCTGTAGCAAAATTTCTGTATTTGAAGGCTCAAAAGATTTAAGAGTTCTACCCCTTAGAGTGGAAATGTAAGTCTCAAATTTTTAAGAATTGTAATTGCTTTAAGGGTCTTTTGCATGGTGGTATAATGTGAACACATTACCCATTTAATTTTGCCTAAATTCCCTGAAAAGTGGCCTGTTTTAAGTTTCCATTTCACAATATGCCAGAGCCATTCAGGTATTTAATTGCATTCATTTGCTAATTACATCTACGTTTTCCAACATAAGTAACCCAAACTGAAGAGCCTTGTATATCAAATGGAAGACAGGGGAGAAACACTGGCCAATTTGTGCCTGATCCCTGAAGGATTAATAAAACAGTCGTCTTGAAGCTAAGATTAGTTAACTTTCATTTCAGAAATTGTTTGGGTCTCATAGCTATTATTTTTATCTAGTTTGCCAATGTAGCTGTTTTGCAAACCCCAGTTTCCCTTCTCCCAAAGAAAATTTCTTGAGAAATCAATTTAATTCCCTTAGAAAGGAGGATTTTAAAACTTATTTTTGTTTCTGTATGACGTGTTTGTTAAGATTCAGCCTTAACATTGGATAGGAATGCATGTTCATCAGCTTAATGTTTTTTCCCATAATCTTTGCAAGACAGGAGAGGCAGGTTCTCTTTCTTACTCAGGAAAACAATGCTTGCACTTATTTAAATTCTCCAAAGTTTTTTTCTGCTAGCAAGTTAGAAGCACCAGTGATCTCCATCACTTTCAGAGGCTCTGTTTTAAGTCTTCTTTCTGCTTTCTTCCCAACAGCTTGACTACACCAGACCCTGAAAGTTTTGAGTTGTTTTTTTTTTAAGTGGCCAGAAAGAGGAAAAGTGAAAAATGGGAGGAATGAAATACATCTTTACCTTGCTGCTATTCTTTCTTTTCCTAGAAGGAAGCAAAACAGAGCAAGTAAATCGTAAGTGTCTTGAGTTTAAAAAACAGGATACTCTCTTGTAATGTCTCTGAAAATGTGGTTATAATCTGTGTTGATTGTGATATAGACCCAAATGTGCCCATGTCATTATTCCAAGAGAAGAAAGTGAATGTTACTGGTTTATACATGGATTGATAAAAGAATAAGAACTTTGAATTAGGTCAGCTAAATTTGGGTCTGTTTTTCTGATTATAATATAGTTATCATCACATAGAATACATGACATATTAGCCTATTTTCCTTTTTCTGTTTTAAAGTGTACAGATCTCATTCCATTTTATATAACTGTAAAAATATCTGACAGATGAGCTGGATTTCCTCCCAGATTTCAGACTCTTCAACAAAAGTTTTCAGTTTATGAAAAGGTATAGCAGAAAGCAGAAAAAGTAAATCGGGCTGTGCCTATTCCCTAATGTCAAAAAATGAAGAAGGAAAAAACTTTCACATAAACTGGATTCAGGTGAAGAATCCTTTGAGGAAATTGAGATCCAGAGACTATGAGCAAATTGGATGCTATTTATTGAAAGGAATGATTCCCCCCAAAGCCAGGGAATATTTCGAGAAAGTTAGTGATCTGTGTGATGGATTAACATGTTAGAGAAAGCAGAATGGTAGGAAGGGGGGCTAATTAACCCTCTTTGCTGCCACATTTGGGAGATTTATGAGTAACTGTTGACATCTCTGTTCTTGTTAGGTGCTTTCTGCTGCCTTCACACGGTATGAGCCTCACTTCTTTGGGCCACATGCAACCACCTCTTAGGTGGATGATTGCTCCAAATTTGAAAGAAAATCCATAGCTCTAGTTCCCCTTTTTTGGCTGTATCAAAAGAAGCACAAAGTGGAACTGGTCCAAGAGAGGGCATTCTCTGCTCCACTGAACTTATTCATGAGAAAGAACTGTGAAAATATTCCTGGTAGGAGCTGAAGCAGCATCTGAAGCCCATCATTTAAACATTGATCTCCTTTATCATCATAAGTTACATATATTAGGCATGAAGTTTGTTGACAGGGGGAAAAGTGTCCAGACTATTCCATTGTTTTGCGTGTTTCTGTACTACTATGATTTTCATAGTAAACTTAGTCTTCCTGGGAGAAATAGTCATTTTGATCAGGCTTTTAAATATGAGTGATATATGGTGATTTCTAGAAGGTTTGGGCCATAGGAAGAAGTTTAGCAGGGTATGCTTTCATTAGGGACGCTTCTTCAATCAGCCTCTCCCCTTGCATCCCTTAAACAATATTCTTCTTCCACGTGAATGTAATCCATTGGATCTCTTCTTTTCTAGATGTCCTCCTTGATTTTAGTGAACCTGATAGAAAAGTTGTCCATCCATTCTCAAATCAGGTCAGCCCACCATCAGCTGGGCTTAAAATCCTTTCTTTCTTAGGAAGGAACTTTCCTTATGCCCTGTTACTGATGGCATCATGGACATATGGTGCAACTCTTAGGAAATAATCTCTTCTGAGAAGCTTTCCATGCTTTTGAAGAATTAAGGAATATTGTCCATGCAACATAGATCTTAGTTGACAAACCAAAGAAAAATACAACTTAAAAACTATTTGCAAACCAAAATCTATTACTTTTTAACATTTCCTACTGCCTATGAATTTGTCCCAAGCCCTTTTGATATTCAATTGGTGTCAGAATGATTATGTAACACATGGCCTAGGGTGCCAGTTTTGGTCTGGTGTTTCAGGCTTATAATCAGAGGATGAGGCCAAGGTCATGGTCATTCCTTGAATGAACCATTGAGCATCATTCTGTGTGGCTAAAGCTACACCAGAGCTAACTGTCTCAAAGACACGTGCAAACTTGCCTCTACTGAAGTGGAAATCTCAAAGCATATGCCCTATATATGTTGCCTATACATGCACTCAGAAACACAATCACTGCATGCACAGGGCTCTATACTTCAGTTCTAACAGTGAGAAATTAGAAGCAGTGGAAATATCAATCTACTGGGGAATGGTTAAATAAATGATCCATATAATGGACTACCATGCAACCGTTAAAAACCTGCTTATTGAAAATTTGACAGTCCTGGAAGATACTTGTGTTAACTTTTAGAATTTTTTATTTTATAAAATTAATAGCACTTATTTTACAAAACTATATGAAAGTATTTCAGCTTCATAAAGAATGTGTATTCCACAACTCCTATCCCACTAACCAGGGGTAGCCATTACTAACATTTTGCTATGTATTCTTTCAAAATCTTTTGTCTGTGTTATAAAAATATACTTAGATGTCTATAGGGTTTTTTCTTTTACAAAAATGGGACAAATGTGTTTTTCTGTGCTTTTATTCAGCAGTGTGTAGGTCTAGGATGTCTTTCCATGTCAGAACATTGCAATACAACAGTATCATATTCTTTCTAATGCCTTCATAGTTGCCAGTTGTATAAGTGTGCTATGATTTATTTAATCAGTCCCTATTTGTAGATATTTAGTTGTTTTTAGTTTTTTTCTATTACAAATAAGGTATTAATGAACACCTTTAGGTGCTTAGGCAAGTATTTGTGACGACTTGTTAGGTCAGAGTGTATGTTCAATTTTAATCTTGTAAAGACTGTCAAATTGTCCTCCAAAACAGTCATATCAATTTATAAACCCACCATCTTTGTATAAGTGTCCATATTTAATTCCTTCACTAAAAGTATTATTAACCTTGTATTTTAGGACAAGCTTAGTAGGAGAGACCACATTTCAGTTTTGCTGTGATATTTTCCTATTACTGGAGCATTTTTTATTAATGATTTTTGAGAGAGAGAGAAGTTGATTTATTGTTCCACTTATTTATGCATTCATTGGTTGATTATTCTATGTGACCTAAACAGGGATCAAACCCACAACCTTGTTGTATCAGGACGACACACTAACTGAGCTACTTGGCTAGGGCTGGAGTATCTTTTTATTTATTTTTAATCCAATTGTATTTCTTTACTTAATTACTTATTTAAGTTGGGTTGCTTGTCTTATTGACAAAATCTTATTTATTAATGTTTTGTTATTTCAAATTTTGTTATTAACTTTTTGCATTTCAAATAACATTTTCTCTGTCTGCCATTGGCTTCAAACTTTAAGTTGAAATTTTTCATAAAGAATTTGTGTGTGTGTGTGTAGGCAGAGCTGTCATTCCTTTACTTTATGGCTTCTGAATTTCTTCTTATTCTTATGGAGGTCTACAAAGTAGAAGAATTCCATATTCTTACATATTCTTCTATTATTTCCATAATTTGAGGTTTACCAATAATTACATCTGAAATTCATATTTATGTATGGTATGTAATAGATAACCAATTTTCTTTTTATTTCTGGGTGGTAGGTTCATGAATGTTATCTTTATTTATTTTTTAAATATATTTTATTGATTATGCTAATACAGTTGTCCCATTACCCCCCCTTATTCCCTCCATCCTGCACACCCTCTCCCACCCATATTCCCCCCTTTAGTTCATGTCCATATGTCATAAGTTCTTTAGCTTCCACATTTCCCATACTATTCTTTCCCTCCCCCTGTCTATTTTCTACCTACCATCTATGCTACTTATTCTCTGTACCTTTTCCCCCTCTCTCCTCCTCCCACTCACCTGTAGCTAACACTCCATGTGATCTCCATTTCTGTGGTTCTGTTCCTGTTCTAGTTGTTTGCTTAGTTTCTTTTGGTTTTGTTTCAGGTGTGGTTGTTAATAATTGTGAGTTTGCTGTCATTTTATTATACATGTTTTTTTATCTTCTTTTTCTTAGATAAGTCCCTGTAACATTTCATATAATAAGGGCTTGGTGATGATGAACTCCTTTAACTTGACCTTATCTGAGAAGCACTTTATCTGTCCTTCCATGCTAAATGAAAGCTTTGCTGGATAGAGCAATCTTGGATATAGGTCCTTGTCTTTAATGACTTGGAATACTTCTTTCCAGCCCCTTCTTGCCTGTAAGGTCTCTTTTGAGAAATCAGCTGACAGTCTGATGGGAACTCCTTTGTAGGTTACTGTCTCCTTCTCTCTTGCTGCTTCTAGGATTCTGTCCTTCATTTTTACCTTGGCTAATGTAACTATGATGTGCCTTGGTGTGTTCCTCCTTGGGTCCAACTTCTTTGGGACTCTCTGAGCTTCCTAGACTTCCTGGAAGTCTATTTCCTTTGCAAGAATGGGGACGTTCTCCTTTATCATTTGTTCAAATAATTTTTCCACTTGATGCTCTTCCTCTCCCCTTTCTGGTACCCTCATCATTCGATTGTTGGAACATTTAAAGATGTCCTGGAGGTTCCTAAGTCTCTCCTCATTGTTTTGAATTCTTATTTCTTCATTCTTTTCTGCTTGGTTGTTTCTTTCTTCCTTGTGATCCACTCTATTGATTTGAGTCCCAGTTTCCTTCCCATCACTATTAGTTCCCTGTGAATTTTCCTTCATTTCACTTAGTGTAACCTGCATTTTTTTTGTCTAATTTGCAACCAAATTCAACCAATTCTGTGAGCATCCTGGTCACCAGTGCTTTGAACTGTGCATCTGATAGGTTGGCTATCTCTTGGTTGCTTAGTTGTATTTGCTGTGGAGCTTTGATCTGTTCCTCCATTCGGGCCATTTTTTTTGTCTTGGTGCGCCTGTTACGTGTGAGGGGTAGAGCCTTAGGTGTTCACCTGGTGGGGCAACTCAGTTGCTGGGTTGTGACACTGTATGTGGGGGTGGAGTTGGAGAGGAAACAATGGTGCTTGCTCCACTGTCCATTGGACTTCAGTCCCTTCCACCGCTTCCCCCAAGCAAACTGAGTCTTTCTGGTGCTAATTCCTGTGTGGGTGGGCTTGGGCACATTCTGGGACCCCGTGGGTCTCTCCAATGAACTCTCCAGTTAGGCTTGGAGTCTCTGCCTATGCTTCATCCCCCACAGGTGTTTTCAATTCATGCCCCTAGGCTCTATTTCCCAGCACCGGGACCCTGGGTTGCATGCAGTGCCTCGCTTCACAGTCTCCACCTTGCTGGGTC